ATTTATTATTTTTATAAAAAATGGCATCCCAACTCAGACAGTTCATTACAAATCCTGATAATATTAAAATTTCAATTTACTTTGCCAATGAGCTCTAACATTTAGGAAAGCTGGGCTTAATGGCTTATTAAGCAGCCTCAGTGTTTACACTATATCTACACTCCATTCACAAGTCAAATTTTCTCCAACTCTGAGTCATTATTAGTTTCTCTCCTGACTCATCACATAGAGAGGTAGACAGTCTGGAACATAATGGGAACACCAAAAGGCATTTCTCAATATACCTGGATTTATAAAGTTTACTAAGTGGAACTAGTCCTATATAATATTCAATAAATATGCTAAATAATTATGACCTTAATTGTGTTCACTTAAAAGTGCTTTCTATATACCAAATGCTCCTTTATCCTCCCTTTTACCATTCTAAGTTCAAATTATGGATTGGGTGTTATAACCCCATCTTGACAGAAAAACAGCATTTCACTTAGGTAAAATCAAAGATCCACATTTTCTGACTACTATTCAAAGATAAACTTACATTTTGCTGATAGGCTGGTGTTCAAATTTTGCCAGGCAAACTAGATTCCAGGGTCAGAAGCAATCTCTGAGCCTACAAATTTGACTTTTATTTCTATTCAATTTTAACTTAAACTTTTACTGTTTTCTTCATTTAGATATTTAAATTGTTTAAAATAACCTTTAATAAAAAGTTATGTACCAGCCTAGGCAGTAAAAATTAGCCAGACATGGTGGCATGTACCTGTAGTCCCACCAACTCAGGAGGCTGAGGTGGAAGGATTGCGTTCCCAGGAGGTGGACGCTGTGGTGAGCCATGATCATGTCATTACACTCCAGACTGGGCAAAAGAGTGAGATCCTCCAACTCAAACAAACAACAAAAAAAGTTATGTGAAAAATCTAGGGAAATATGCTAAATAATGAAAGGTTATTTCTTAAAAACTCCTTTTTCCCTAGATGCAAACGTACACACACAAAAAAGCACAAAAACATTTAAAATATTGCTCTATCACTTACTCATCTTCTATGTGATCTTGAATCATCTGAGCTCAAAGCCTGCATTTTCTCCTTTGGAAATGGGGATAAAAAGAGCAAATTTAACTACCACATGGGATAGTTGTGAGCATTAAGACAGTACACAAAGCACCTTAGCAAACCACTATGCAAACAGAAGGTTTAGACACTGACTATGCCAACTTTTATGCTTAAACCAGTGTCACCTCTACCTACTGAAAGACTATGATTTTCTACGGTACCCATCTTCATCAACTCATTCATGCAAGCCTACACAACCGTGAAAACTTCACAAGCACTCTGAAAGCAGGTGAGTTACTGTCTAGGAAGATTTCCTCAACTATACCTCCTCTTCTTTGAGCCAGGTACCCTGCCCAGGGACTAGGTTATGCTTATCACTGTATGTATCGTATTTCTTTATATTAATTGAGAGCACCTTGTGGGCAAGGCCTATGTCCTATACTCATTTCTGTACCCCCGACTGCAGCCCAATAGTTTTTAATCCTGACTCATACTAGAATCATATGGGGAGCTTATAAAAATAATAATGCCTAGGATCCATCCCAGACCCATTAAAAAGTAAGGGGTTAGGGTAGGAAGACAAAGAAGGCAAGGAATCAGCATGGAGAAGCATTTTTTAAAGATCCCCATGTGTTATCAATGTGTTGTCGGAGTAAAGAACCGCTGCACTGTGACACTTAAAATACTAAGCTATTTGTATAGCATTTAATAAATGTGTATATGTAAAAATTTATGTATATGTAGGTATAGAAAAATATACAACTCAGGTCAAGATTCTATCCTCAATAGCTTCTCCCAGCCCAATCATCTCTTCCCTTTAAGCATACACTATTTCTAATACTTAAGTTACATGTTGCATTAAGATGGCTTTTAAACTGTTAACTCAGTACTTAAGTTCTTTCATGTAATTATGCCTGCTTATATGTAGGCATAGAAAAATATACAACTCAGGTCAAGATTCTATCATCAATAGCTTCTCCCAGCCCAATCATCTCTTCCCTTTAAGCACACACTATTTCTAATACTTAAGTTACATGCTGCATTAAGATGGCTTTTAAACTGTTAACTCAGTACTTAAGTTCTTTCATGTAATTATGCCTTCTTCTTCCTAGATTACAGCCTCGCTCCTTGAGAATATATGTTGCCTTATTCTTCTTGTTCTCTCCAGTACTTAGGATAACGCCTTGAACACAGCTATGTAATAAACATTTGACTGATCCAATACATGCAAAAATTATTCGCAGAAAGTATGTCACATCCAAATTACCCAATACAGGCTAACTATTAACAACAACAAAAAAACCAGAAATGTAAAAACTCAGAAAAAAGTGTTTTAAAAAAATTTCTTGGCAAATGAGAACTAAAGTTCACCCATTTAAGAGCATCTAAATATGTGGACTTTACAGTCATCCACACGTAGTTTCCTATCAGCTTAATCAGCTAGTTTCCATTTTTTACCTGCTTCCTTGCTAAAACTATCTTCGAATTGATTTTGATATCTTTACATGCTGTCAGGTACCATTATAACAATAATACTAGGAAAATGAGTTAATGAAAGTCACAATAAATATGTTATACAGGTGTTTAATAAGTACTTCCTGAAGAACTTAACATTTATCAACCACTAAAATAGGCTCTCTACACACACACACTACACGTTAATTTGTTAATATGAACCTGGTTGGAAATACTATCTTAAAACAAGAGAGTCTTACTCAACATCAGAGAAAACAAGTCTACTTTTGAATACTGATAGATTGGTGATTTGCATCCTTTTAAATACTTTCAGACCTGAAAAGCTTGCAAAAACATAATATGACTTTTTAAAACAGGAGTGCTAAATTTTATTATGCAGGAAACTCCACAGCAACTGGCATTCTCATTGTAGAAACTACTAGGAGACATGGCACACAATCCTAAAAAAAGCAACAATCTATAGACTTGAAAATGGCTCACCTTTAAAGTTTTGCATCATATATTTCACACTATTAAAATGATCTGAAAGACAAGTTGTTTTATAAAAAATAAAAATACAGGGAGGAGTCACTCAAGAAGCATGCCTGTTAATTAGATACTGTGGTAAAACATTACAATGTTTTGTTGGGTCCTACTGCTTGAAACAGATAGAACCATAGTTACCACTAAAAGAAAGCAGTTCTCAATTCCCTATTCAATAAAAAGGTTCAAATTCCACAGGGGAAAAAAAAATGGTACCCTGAGTTGTTTGTTTTTAAGAAAGATTAAATTTAGGAGTTGCCAACACCCAAACGAAAAACATTCCAGAGTATTAGGCTCAATTGTAGTGGGGAGTCATCTACATTCTCAGCACTATGCTCCCTTACTCAAAGCAGGAGTAGTAACAAAGGATGTTTCTTAGGATCTCATAGGATACACCCTACCTATTTCCCTGAGTAAGTATTAAGTACTCTCGTTTTGTTTTGTTTTTTAAGTACTTGAAAAATAATTTTAGCATAAGCAGCCAGAAAAAAAGTAAAGTTTAACTTCTATCAACATATTTCTCAAAATAAGACCCTTGTCAGATGAACAATGAGGAAAACACTGAAAATGACATATTCTTTTATTTGGATCGTCATCTATTTTTAAAAATAAAGTTGAGGAATGGCGCTTTCCCAAAGTCTTGTCTTCAATTTCTCCCTAATCTTCATATTTTTAACTTAAAAAAAAAAAACCTGGAAATTTGGTTACCACTCTTATGAATTCCTTTTAAAGCAATTTAATGAATAGCAGATCTTTTGTGCAAGTAGCAAACCGCAGAGGACAGTTTTGCTGGCTGATAAAAACTTCTCTAAACCACTCACAAAAATACACCCTTCAAAGTCACATTCTGATTTTCTAGGTATGTAAGTTAACACTAAAAATTTGAGTATATTTAATATATGTCCTAACTTATGGTAAATGCTTTTACTTAAGCTACAATTAAAGTTACAAAGTTATAAATTCTTAATAATTATTAAGTGGGTGGCAAAGTTAAGTAAATTAGAATGCCAGGAGAAAAAAAAAAAGTGAAACCTAAGAGCCAATGAGGAAAAGATGGAACTACTTTGGATGAAAAAAGATAAGTTGAACCAATTCCCCAAATCGGTGAGCTACTATTAAGGTAACCAAAACGTGTTTGGGATTGTTTTGGTTTTGGTAGTGGGAGGCACGACAATACACTAAGTAAAAATTCTCTACCATTCTAATGGAAAGATGCTGCTGCCTGCAGCGATATTTTGAGAATGCTCAAACATACAAAAAAAAAAAAAGCAAACCCTACCACAAATGTTTTCCAGATATAGCACTTAAATACAAGAATCTCTAGATCGCCTTAGCAAATAGAATTGTGGGTGGTGACAGCATCCCTACTGTCCTTAAATATCGCTCAAACCGTGTGTGTATTGGGGAGCACAATTTCTAAACTTTGGTTTCTATATACAATCGGGCACATTTTACTTGGATATACTCATCTTAAGTCCACTGCAAGATAAAGGTGTCTTGAACATTGCTAAGGCCACATTTTCTTTGCAGGTGTTATTAAACACTGCTAAGAGAGAAAGAGATAAGCAATCTGATAACTCCAGACGGACACGTGGGAAACCGGAGTATGTCGTCACCACCGTTAATCGACTCCTCCAAGCGATCACACACAATCAGGCAAGCTAGGTAGGCGAGTCCTGGAGCCACAGGTCGTCTCTCTCCCACCGTAAAGGACCCTGGGTCAGAGACCTCAGCCAGGAAACCTGAAAGGCACCGGGTTCTACTTGGGGTTGGGGAAACTTCCCAGGAAGCGTCTGTCCAGAGTGAAACTCCATCACCCTCCGCCTGTCGAACTCGGGAAAAGGCGAAGCCGCACGCGCTGGAGCCGGAAAGCTCCGGGCGCGGGAGACCCAGGGAGGCCCCCGGGGGAGGACGCCGGGCGGCGGCCCCCGCCCGGGCCGGGCGGCTCACCTCTGCGGCGGGGATGTTCACCACGCCGGTGGAGCGCCGCTTCTCCCGCAGCTTCCTCTTCTCGATCTGCCCCTTGCCTTTCCGAGCACTGGGTCCCGAGCTCTTGCCCTTCTCCAGGGCGCCGTCCCGCTCCTCCTCGTCACCCCGGAGCGGCGGGGCCCCGGAGGCGGCG